CAAACCTTCAACCTTTGGGTCAGCAGCGGGGGCCATTCAGGGAAGAGAGGACCCTCCATAGGCTTCCCAGAGGGGGATCCGGCCTTGGTTGCTTGCCTGCGCTGGGAGTGGAGAGGGGCAGAGTGGGTTGGACTCGTCCGTAGTGTGTAATTTACTTACTGCAATGGTGCGGGGCGGGGGGGGCGGGGGCTGGGGAGTCACAGCAGCCAGTAAAGTGAGAAAACCACACGGGACATTAGGGGCACTCCTGCTGCCCCCACTGGAGGGCAGGACCAGCAGGTTGGCGTGGAGGCTAGAGCCCCACGGGAGGTGTGTGTACGGCATGTGTTCGAGCTTGGGAGCAAGAGGAAAGCTGGTGAAATACTGACTGTTGAGTCTAAGGTTTTCTCTGTCCCCTGCCCCTCTGGCCCCCTGCAGACCAATGAGTTATTGTCCATACAGGAGCACTGCCCCATCGGCCCCACTGTGGGTCCCTCTCTTCCAACCTCCCCTCCCATGCTCTTCCAGGAGCCTGTGTTCCAGCTTAAATTCTGACACCCTGGTTTGCAATGAGCTCTGGATGGCAGCCTCAAACCCATCTGCAGGTCCCCCGTAGATCAAGCCTCCACTGAATCCCTTCTGATCGCCAACCACGGGGGTGAACAGTCTGGCTCTCAGGCAGAGCGCCTTGGGCAATGGGCTGCCTCCATCCCCTCCAGCCAGCCCCACCCCACCTCAGAGAGGGGCAGTCTCTCTCTTAGGGGGTCTGCCTCAGTGTGTCCTTGATGGAGGTCATTGTACTGGGGAAAGTACAGGGGGCCACTTGATCGTCAGTCATGACCTATCAGTCTCTCCTGGACTGCCTGGGTCAGTAACCACGTACGTGTGCCCACCATGGTCCCGTCTGTGGGGGCCTGTGATGCACTGATCTGCCACCAGCCCCGCTTGTGCACGTATCCTTTGCTCTTCCCTGCACACCCCACACCCCGTTTTTTGTGTTTTCCGATTGTGAGTCCTTAGAGCCCACTTTCACCTTGTGTTCATGGCCTCCTCCGCCTCCAGGTGATGTGTGGGTCCTTGTGTTAGTTTTGTCTCTTTTGAGACGTCAGAAACGGTCCCCTTAAATTATACTTGAGACGGGGTACCCTAAAACAAGCTTCAGCCTCTCTCGGACTCGTCAGTTTTGTCCCAATGTTCACGACCATGAACGACTCTTAGAAACGAACTGCCAGCCCCGACAGCTCCCTGGGTCTGTGGCCCTCGGATTCCCGCCCACTTGAGTCAGCCCAGCTCCTCCTCCTTCAGAGCCCAGGCTGCGCCTCCATTTCTCCCAGAAGACTGCCTCTCACATCGCCAGCCCACAGGAAGGCCCCTGCTCTTCAGAGTCAGAGCCCCCAAGGTCAGTCAGGCTAAGCAGTACACTGCCGCGTGGCGGTGCTCAGGTCAAAGTTCCTCACGTCAACTGTGGGCGCCCAGAGACAACCACCTCATCCCCACCAGTCACCTCCGAAAGACATCCCAGAATTCCTGACTCGGAGCCGAGGTGGTCCTACTGAATGACTATCCTTGGGACTTGAGATACAGGACCACCGAGGTGGTCCTACTGAGTGACTATCCATGGGACTTGAGATACAGGACCACCGAGGTGGTCCTACTGAGTGACTATCCATGGGACTTGAGATACAGCATTTCTGAAGTGACCTGGGCCCAGGGCTGAGTCCCACCAGCTCTCCGCTCATTCACTAGCAAAGAAAGACTGGCCCCCTCGGCAGAGGTAGGGCTGTGGACTGGGACCCTGCATCCCCTAGAGCAGGGGTTCTTAACCTTCTTAATGCTGTCACCCTTTAATACAGCGCCTCATGTGGTGGTGATCCCCCAACCATAAAATTATTTTCAGGCGACCCCTGTGAAAGGGTTATTTGACCCCCAAGGGGGTCACGACCCACAGGTTGAGAACCGCTGGCCTAGACCAAGCCTCCCTGCACACCCGCCAACAGTACCTTTATCTGCTTGATTTCATACTGGATCCTTTTGATGGGATTGCCGTAGATGTCATTGCCGGAGTCCACCTCCTTCTCGCTGACCGCTTTGGCCCGGATCACTGCAGGGCACAAACACATGCAGCACTGGGTTAGGGGGCAGTTTCCCACAAGGTCCTGTTCGGAGGAGTGGCCAGGCCTCCGGGCCTGCAAGGGGCGCCATAGAGGCGGAGAGGAGCCTGTGCCTCAGCCATTGTTGAGTCTCTTCTATCCAGCCCGAGGCTGCAGTCAGTCCTGTCCAGCAGGGTTCCCTAGACTGTCCCTCTCTGTGGCTGTACAGCACCAGAGCTGGTGGTGGGTAGGTTCGAACTGCCAACCTTTGGGCACCGAACTCTCGTGCCACCAGGGCCCCTCACAGTGACCTCACTGCCAGGATTTGGTTTTCTAGGCTGACATGTTCGAGGAAGCAGGTGGCCAGGGGCCCCCCTCCCTCCATGAGGAGGCTGGGGGTGGGGGCCGACAGCCTTCAGTTGGCAGTCAGGCACTTACCCGGCCTATAACAACCTGAAAACTGCACTGCACCCCTCTCTCCTCCCAACAGCTCATCTTTCTCCTGCACAGCGGCTGGTGGTTCAAACTGCTGTCGAGTTGACGTCCACACATGGTGACCCCGTAGGACGGGGTAAAACCATCCCTGTGGGTTTCTGGGATTGTTACTCTATACGGAAGTAGAAAGACCCACGTCTTTCTCCCGAGAAGGGCTGGTGGTTTCAAACGGCTGACCTTGCAGATCAGAGACCAACGTGTCACCACCACACACACCACCAGGGCTTCCCACCCCTCATCTGAGGGCTTCCAGTCCCCAGCATGGTACCTGTCACCTCCCTACTGAAGGCCCAACCTAGAGGCTGCTGGTTGCCACGCTCCCCCCATACTCCCCAGATTCTTCAACTAGAACTCTCTCCACCTACAGTGGCTGAAGCCCCAGGCCCCTCCTTCCCGGGAGCCCGGGGGGTGTCTCTGCAGTCAAGGGGGTGGGCACTGGCCTGCTGGATGCTGCTCTGCTCATGCAGCACATGGGCCCTGGGTGGGGCTGGGTACATTCCTGCAGCAGCGGAGTTTCCGAGGGCCAGACGCAGCCCAGAAAGGGAGTGCACATCAGAGAGCCCAGCCTGATCCTTTACTTGAGGACCCGTGTGCCCGCCACCCCCCCAGCTCCACACGGGAGTCTATTGCCCAACAGCAGGGCATTCACCTACCTCTTCACATTTAGGGTTGGGGGTCTTACATTTAAAGGAAGGTCTTCCCTCCTGAAAGTCATCCCAAAACACATCGCAGAGGGTAAGTGGTGGGCTGCTAACTGCCAGGGCGGGCGGTTCAAATCCCACAGCCGCCCCAAAGGAGAAAGATGAGGCAGGCTGCTTCCATAAAGATGGCTGGTCCGGGGAAGCCCTGGAAGCTGTTCGACTCCATCCCAAAGGCTGCTCTGAGTCAGTGTGGGCTCAGCGGCAGATTCGAAACTTACTGCCATCGAGTTCATTCCAATTCATTCAATTGTCCAAGACCCTACAGGACAGGCTGGAACTGCCCTTGCCGGTTTCTAACACCTTAACTCTTTAAGGGAGTAGAAAGCCTCCTCTTTCTCCCTTGGAGTACGTGGTGGCTTTGAACTGCTGACTTTGTGGTTAGCAGCCCAATGTGTAACCCACTGCGCAACCAGGGCCCTAGGCAGTGGGTGTTGTTCTATCCTGGCAGCGGTGAGGAAGGATGAGGGAGACTGAGCTGGCCGGGCTCCGAGACAGGCATCAAGGACACAGGTCAAACAGAAAGAGGAAGGAGGAGGGGGAGAGGGCAGGCTGGGAAGATTCCAGAATGTGCCGGAATGTTCACTGGAGCCAGAGGCTGCAGAAGGGTCGGCCACCCCAGGGCTTTCTGCTGGCAATTAAGCCCGGCCTCTATTCCACTTCCAGACACCCATCAGCCCGGCGGCCACTCCCAAGGGCACTCGGGCTGGGCAGGCCCTTCCTCTTTTCATTCCAAGGCTCATTAGAGTAGCAGGGTGACTGTGTTCAGGGCTCTAAAAGCTTTGCCCTCAAACCCGGCCTGTCAAGGTCACTCTGGTGAGAGATCTGTGCAAACAGAAAGATGGTAAACCAGTATGCAGTAAGACATGGCAGCCCCAATCCCATCCTACCCACCGCCGCCGAGCCCAGTCCCATGCCAGTGACGGACTAGACCAGCTTACAGATGTTTCTTGGCTCGCACTGAGAATTGGATAAAGGTCAACCGAGCACAGGGTTAGTTCTGCATTCAACTCAACACACATCCAACTTCAACTCAGCCATCACAAGTCCCTCAAGGCAGCCCCCCACTGCGACCTCAGCGGCCTTTTTGGAAAACATCAGCAAAGGAAGACCTAGTAGACTCAAGGCGGGGTGGGCGGACGAAGATAGGGAACCCCTTTCCCTAGGCCCCCAGATGCTTGTGGGGAGGTGGGGGAGGCGGGTAGAAGCTGGGAGCAATCCCCACCCCCAGCC